TTGGTACGTCTAGTTTAAACGACTATTTCAACTAAAAATAATATATTTTTGTTATTCACAAATCTATAAAAAGCGAATATAAATTATTATTTACTGCTATCAAAGAAAAAAAGTAATAATTTTTTTAAAAGTGAATATTTTCTGTTAAAAATAAATTGTAAGAATGTTTATGAATTGTTTTAAAATGCTCATAAATTGCTTATAAAAAATGGTTGCTATTAATATGTAGAAATATGTATTTAAATAACTCGGAAAAAAATTTGAAAATAAAAGAAAAGCAGAAGAATAGTTAGAAATTTTTATATGTGACTTATGCGAGTATATTTTTTGTTTTTAAGTTTAGAAGGGGGGAAATGACAATTTTTTACTTACTGCTGCTGCGTAAAAAGGGGGGTAAAGGGGGGTTTTTTTTCCGTTCAGTACAGGCAAGACGGTGGAGGATGTGCAACGCGTGCGCATAAGACTACCACGCCTCCGCCAACTCCTGCGAGGTGGAGCAAATTGCGAGACTGGTCTGAAAGTTAGTCACGATTGGAGACCCGGTTCACCTGTAAAGTAGCCTCTCTCTCCCTCCACCCCACTCTCTCCCCCAGTTTGCCCCCTGCACCCCGCGGCCTATTAATACACCTGTATGACGTCAGTAATCACCTCCCTTCTTTGCCTGTCTTTTTACCTCTTATTCCGGATCCCACGCGAGTTAGTTGGATGCATCTTCTTTTACCATATGAACATATATATGTATATATTTATAAATCCTTACCCGAGAAGTAGCATGTTATTATCTCTAATTATTTTTCTCTCCGACTATTCATTTCATTTTTAATGTTATTTTAATATTTCTCTTTTAATTTTAATTATTTTTCATTAGAGTTGGTTTTTAATTTAAATTTTTTAAAAAAGAAAAACACTCATTTCTCATTATTGCGAAATTAATTTCCAATTATTTTTTTTAATGTAACTTTAATTTTAACTTTTTAATAAAATTTTAAACAGTTTTTAATGTAGAATCTGTTTGCTTTCGCAAATGGAAGGAGACATTTTTTATGTAGCTAATTAAGGTTTTGTAAAGTTTACATTTTCTGATTATATTTTTTGTTAATATTATTTATTTCAATTTTTACTATTATATTATTTGTGTAGAAAATTTCCGCTAAGCTCATAGATAGTCTTTACTCATTTAAAATAAGAGAACGCAGCAGTAAACTATTTACAATATAATAACAAATATTAAGTATTTATATATTTAACAACTAGGAAGATTTTTTTATTTGCATATTTATAAAGTTATATATTTACATATTTATATGTTAGTTATATTATTTTACTGTTAGGTATAGTTTAAAATTATTAATTTTGAGTTTTTCTGTCAGAATTTAGAAAATAGTCGCTTGAACGGAACGTAACAGATTATATTTCAATTTAAATTAAAATGACTAATTTTTCGCTTTGCTCTCATAATTTACATCCAAGAAAAAAATTATTCACTCCTCAAGCTGCATTGTCGTATCAAACAGAAATTATCAGTTGCATGCAGTTGCGATTTTTAACAACTAAGAAACAGAATCCGCTTTTAAATCTGTTCATAAAAATGCATTTTATAATTTTTTAAATGAGTTTATTTAATTTTTTCTTTGAAATTTTTCACATGAATTACCGGATTTTACAGAATAGCGTTTGCAAAAGCTAATTGCAGAGAAAAATTAATATTATCAGTTTTTCGGAAGCGGCCGCCAAAGGAAGAGAGGGGGAAGTGGACAGTGATTGGTTCTTCATTTTCCAGGTTTACTCTTCGTCCACAGCGCCACGCATTGTTCTTCAGTCAGTCCTAAGATTCAGAAAGGGTAAGTGCCTTGTAATGATTTTTTAAATTACATTTTTTAATTCTTTTCTTTCAGAGGTTGCAGATTATTTTGGATCCAGTCTTTAGACAAAGTCTTGCTTAAACTGAACGTAACAATTTTTATTTCTACAACTTCTGATTAACAGAAATTACCAGAATGTCATCAGCAGTTGTTTTTCTGCATTGCCACGGAAATTAATAAAACTTTGCTAATTAAACTAAACGTAACAATTTTTACTTCCACAAATAACGATCAGCAGAAATCATCAAAAGATCTCCAACAGTTGATCTTCTGCTTTGGTTTTAAAATTAATCTAAATGGTTATTGCTTAAATTAAAGAAAGTGTGTATAATGTGTTTTTCTCCTAACCTAACACTGGACGCATTGTTACTTGGATGTAACAATTTTTAGTTTTACAAATAACGATCAGTAGAAATCATCAAAAGATCTCCAACAGTTGATCTTTTGCTTTTTCTAACATTAATCTAAAAGGTTATTGATTAAATTAAAGAAAGTGTATATAATGTGTTTTTCTCCTAACCTAACACTGGACGTATTGTTACTGCACGTAACAATTTTTACTTCTTCAATAACGATCAGCAGAAATCATCAAAAGATCTCCAACAGTTAATCACAAAAGATCTAGCTTAAAAATAACATCAAAAGCAATTAATTTCCTGATTTGATACTAAAATTAATAAAAATTTCTTGTTTAAACTGAACGTAACAATTTCTATATTCACAAATAATACCAATCGCAATTTGTAAACAGACGACTTTCCACTTTGGTTGCAGAATTAATCAAAAGTTTTTCTTAAATTGAGCGTCACAATATTTAGTTTAATTTAAAATTAAGAATTATTTTCATTCCCAATTTAAAAAATGCTTAAACTAAATGTGATATTATTTTAACAAATTTCATCCAAAAATCACTTGCAGAGAATTTTCTGCTTAAATATTTATTTTAATATTTTCTACTATCTACTATTTTTTTCTGTTATTATTTTTATTCTCATTCTATTCTATTCTCATTGTATTTACTCATTTTTATTTATTTTTTATTAATATTTATATTATTGAAATTTATTGTAAAGTAATTAATTTTAAATTAATCCAAATATGTTTTATTTTCTTGTTTTCAACAGCTTACGGTCTTGGAAAAATTAAAATAATTGAAACTTTTTTGGTTGTATTTTATGTTTTTGATTGTATATTTTTAATTGATTTTTATTTACGTTTTTTCATTTATATAATTTATTATTTATTTATTTCCATACGCAGACGGCAATTGTTTGTTTATTTATTTGGTTTTATTTAAATTTCATAGTAAATAACTAATTTTCATATTTTAAGTTAAAATTCATTTTGAATAATAAATTTCTTTACTTTTTAATTGAAATTTTATTTTAAAGAAAAATTAAATTTTTCATTTTAAATTAAAATTTATTTTCAATAATAAATTTCTTAATTTTAATTAAATTCTATATTTTGAAGAAAAATTAATTTTATTATTTTAAATTACAATTCCTTTTTAATATTAATTTCCTTATTTTTAATTAAATTTCATTTTGGAAAAGACTTAATTTCTTTATTTTTAACTAAATTTTATTTCGAAGAAAAATTCTTTATTTTGCACTAAATTTTATTTCAAATAGTAAATTTAATTTTAAACTTTAAAGTGTGGTATAGAAAATGATGAAATAGTTAATATAAAATTGTTTTCTTTTTTACTTGAAATTTAATTATTGCGAATATAACATTAGATAAATTGGGAATTTTATTAAATTGTGATTTGAATCATTACATGAGTATCGTGTAAGTAATTGAATTAATTTTCCTTGGAAGTTTCAGTCTAATTGAATTTTAATCTAATAGATTGCACTGCATTTTGGATTAATTGTTGTAGACTGAATTGCACATGATTTCAAGAGTAATGCAGGATAATTGAATTTTATTCTCCTTGATTCGATGCCTTAAATTGTAATTTCTAGAATTTTCATCAAGTTTTATAATTGATTTTGATTTTCATTTCTTTTTTGTATTTTTATAATTAGAAAACAAATTTCAAAAAGGAAAATAGTTGAAAAAATTTTCTTATTCAGAATATTAGTTTATTTTCAAATGTTTTCTTAATTATTTAAAAATGTTCTGTTCTTTAATTTTTTTAAGTTAGTATTTAATGTTTTTTTTATTTAATTTTTAACAGTAATTATTTATGTATTTTTTGTTTAATTGTGCAGTTATTGCTTCCTTAAAAATAAAGTATTAACTTACATATTTGATTGCATATTTACTTTTTTATTAATTTACTTATTTATTACTTTTTTACTTATTTATTTAATTTATTATTATTTATAATAATAAATAAAAAAATAAAATAAAAACTTATTTTATTTACACACTTATTTATTTGTTCCTTTATTTATTTTGTTATTTAATATTTATTTGTTTACTTTTTCATCTTATGTAAGAATTAAAATAATTAAAATTTTTTATTAAAAGACTAAATTTGCATATATTTTAATTTAATAAATAAAGACAAGAATCGAATTTCTTTGGGTAAAGAATGTTCTTCAAAATGCTTCGTAATTGTCGCAAGAGATGGCACTCGATTGCCTTTTAAAGATGTTCTAATTTCCATTTCTTAATATTATTCGAAATAAAATTCTCTCCAAAGATACTTTTTAATTTAAATAAACAAAAAAATATTAATTTCCTAATTTTTTAATTAAAATTATTCTCCCAGACATTCAAATCTAAGAAATTTGTAATAAAACTTTTTTTTAGTCTTTTCCGCCAAGCAGTAAATTTAAAAATTAAATTTTTTAAATTCAGTTTCTTTATGAAATTTAGTTTTTTTTTTCATGAAAAAAATCAATGTTAAATGGAAAAGAAATTTTCTTGTAAAAATATTTGAAAAGGCGTTTCTTCTTTTTTAAAAATTGTGTTTCACGAAATTCATCATAATTATATATGGTAAATTTTTTTTTTTTTTGCTTTTACGAATGAGTGGAGGAATTTTCGCTGCGCAAATCTACCCTCATATTGAAGAGAAAAAGGGATGAGAGAGAGAGAGAGGTAATTCACGATATAGGACAACCCTTTTGCGAAGCGCATACTCACCAAGTTTGCGACTCTCCAGTCTACCGCTAGCGAGCGTCGCGTTTGTTACCTCGGCAGGTACCTCGTAATTATTATTATTAAAATAATAAAAGATTAACATTATTCTCTCGCGATTTTGTGTGAAAATAATAACGTGTTATCTCTTAAATTTTCCCCGCAATTTCTATAAAGAAAAAAATAATTTTTAAAATCCGGTTTTAAATTTCTCGAAAGGGTAAAAAATTTTCTGCAAATGCTCCCACTTTGAAAATTGTGTTTTTTTGAAAAAGTGCTTCGAAAATATATTTTGAAAAGTTATTTTGATTTGAATAGTGTGTTTATTTCTCAAACAGAATTTTTTTAAATTTCTTAAAGAAAAAAACAGGATTTGAATCGAGTCAGCGAATTGAAAACCACGTGGCAGTGAATCACGCGTGATCACTTGGGTTTAAATTTCTGTCAAGCACGTGATTCGGGCGAAGGAAAATCATCTTTCGGATAATAGAGTGAGTATTTTTTAAGGAATAAGATATTTTTATGACTAACTTTTTTAGAAATTTTTGGGTTTTCGAATAAGTTTTTTAATCTCTGCAACACTTTTTTAATGGCAACGATTTTTTTCAATTTTTTCAAAATACGAAAACAAGATGACGTTGTTTAACATAAACAAACATTTTTGGGCCTTTCTTGAAATAAGGAAACAAAATTTATGTTGGGTTTATCATTGGGAAGTTAAAATATAATCCTAAAAAACTTCTCGATTTAACTACTTCTTGTCAGTGAACAATTTAGTTCTGTATTTATTTCATACATGATTGGCCCTTTTATAAAAAAATTGCTGTCACATGTCAAAGTTAAAAATAACTGCAAGAAAGTTTTATTATGTTAAGCATCTAATTAGGATCTTTCTAAAAAAATGTTACCTAGAACTTATGATGAATTATATATAATTATTTACTTAAAATTCTACTTGTTTTTTGTCATCAATACTTGTAGAAAGAAAAAATGTTACGTTCAGTTTAAGCAAACCTTTTTTAATTAATTTTAGTACCAATGCAGGAAATCAACTGTTGGTGATTTTCTAATAATTTCTGGTGATCAATATTTGCGGAAATAAAAGTCGTTAGGTTAAATTTAAGCGACTGTTGTGATTAATTTTAAAACTATACTAAAAAGTTATCTGCTTGTTGTTTTCTGTCAGTAGTTGTAAAATTAAAAACTGTTATGTTCAGTTTAAGCGATAACTTTTATTCTGGAACTAAACCATAAAGTTATCTGCTTGTTGTTTGCCCTCAGTTTTTGTATAAATAAAAATTGTTACGTTCAGTTAATGCAATAACCTTTATTTTTGACCTGAAGCTTAAAGTTATCTGCTCGTACTTTGCCATCAGTATTTGTAGAAATAAAAATTGTTACGGTCAGTTTAAGCAACCATTTAGATTAATTCTAGTAGGAAAGCAGAAAAGAATGTTTAGTCAAGAAAAAAGCTGGTGACCTTTTTGTGATTTCGAATGATTACTATTTACCGAATTAAAGCGTTCAGTTTAAGCGACTGCTTTAATAAATTCTGGAACTAAAACAGAAAGTCAACTGCTGATGATTTTGTTATATTTTTTTGATCATTAATATTTGTTGAAATAAAAATTGTTACGTTCAGTTTAAGCAAGACTTTTTTATTAATTTTAGTACCAAGGCAGGAAATCAACTGCTTGTGATATTATTTTGAAGCTGGATCTCCTTACTGACCTTCCAATAAAACCGTTTGATGAACCAGATATTAATGTTGTAATTCAAGAAGACTGAAAGCCACTTATATTTGCATAATTACATTATGGTAATAGTCACGAGTGGCTATTCACTCTACTGATTCGTAATGATTCCCATGTGACTGATTTTGACTCTAGGGGGAATTATGATGCAATGATTCCTAAATGACCCATTTTGACTCTAGAGAGAATTAGGATGATTTCTAAGTCACTTAGGTCACTTAAGACTTAAGACACTTGAGACTAAGGTCACTTAAGACTTAGGTTACTAAAGACTTAGGTCACAAGTAAATCACTTCGAAATCAATACGAATCACTAGGATGAACAGACCTACGATTAATCATTATTGAAAGTAATAGTGACTTAAAGCGGATTATTTAATAAAAATAAAGGATAATAGTATATAGATATACTTCCTCTGATCTGTCAGCTAAACATAAATATTTTAAACTGCATTTCTATTTGATTAGAACTGTTGCATAGCTGCATAAATTTTTTTTGCAAAAGTACAACATGTTTATCTTAATAAAATTAAACCCCTCTATTAATTTGGGCATTCCCAACATCGACTAAACTTGCATCAGCCTTAACCACATTGCCACAATATTCTAAGAATTGCAGTAATGTTGTTAATGTTGCTGTAAATTTAGATGCTATCGCATTTAGAGTAGCAGAAATTCCCTAGAAAAAGCAAAATACCCTAAAAATTACTTCAAAATTTTTAACTATAATTGCACAAAGGGAATTAGGGGCCATACATAAACTACGTTACCAATTTAGGGGGGGGGAAGGGGGTCTAAAATTTTTTATTTTTACATGTAACGCAATGGTAACGAGGGGGTGGGAGGCAGTCTAAAAAGTATGAAAAATTGGTAACGTAGTTTATGGACGACCCCTTACAGTATTGAGTATAGAAGAAGGAAGAAAAGGAGGATTATGCTAATCAACATATAAAAGTAAGAAAAAAATGTCCATTTCTCAAAGAAGTTTTCGGGGAACCTAAAAAAATTTTTTCTCCTTCTTTAACACCGCGCAGGGAATATGAGAGAAAAAAACTAAACGTGTCCCCTAACTGGAGAACTTTTGTGATAATCCAACCAACGACGCCGACGACTTATTAGATTAATTAACGTAATCCTAATAGGATCTCATCTTGACGCACAATGTAGGCTGATGCTCGATATATATCGCGCGAGGGAGAGAGAGAGACAGAGACTCCCTGTCTCTCTGCGAGCAAGTATATACGTCAACTATAGATAGTTACATGTTGTACAATCTCTTTGTTAGTGTGAGCACATATACAATACATATCGTTGGGTGCTTTATAATATACATGCAGTTTTGAGCTTTATATGTGTACATGTGAATAAATGTATATATGTGATGTGATGATCTGTATATGTGCATGTGTAAATGTTAATATATATATGTGTAAATGTGAATGTATATCTGTATATTTGAATATATATGTGCATATGTAAATATATAAGTATTATGTGTGCATGTGAATTCATATCTGTATATGTGTAAATACTGGTTGATATGTGAATATATATATGTGTATATGTGAATGTATATGTATTATATGTGTATATGTGAATGTATATGTATTATATGTGTTTATGTGAATATACATGTGCATATGTTAAAATATACGTATTATATGTGTATATGTGAATTTATATCTGTATATGTGAAAATATATATATTATATATGTGCATATGTGAATACATATGTGTGTATGTGAGAATATATATTTTATATCTGTATATGTGAAAATACAGGTTGATATGTGAAAATATACGTATTATATGTGCATATGTGAATACATATGTGTATATGTGAAAATATACTTTTCATATGTGTATACGTGAATATACATGTACTACATGTGCATATGTGGATTCATACATGTATTATAAATGTATATGTGAATAAACATGCACACGTGTATTTACATGGAGATATATGTGTGTGTGTGCAAGTTGAGAGTACTGTGTATTACTGACAAGATAGGTTGAACAATGGCTTCCATTACTGGCAGAGGCTGCCTGCGTTAATGGGCAAATTGTGTGCTAAGTCATTTAAACGCCTAAGCTCGAACCTGGTGCACCAACCTCCTCTACACGTTCAGTATAGTAATTCGATGAGGTCAATGACGTCAGTTCTCTCTCTCTCTTACTCTCTATCTCTCTCTCTAGACCAGTCTGAAAATCCCCCACTTTCTGGTTCCATCTCATTATCACCATTTCATTCAGTCTCCCTCCTTCCTCTCAATCTCTATCTTTTGCTTCAAATCCGTACATTATACATATGGGGAGAAAGTTTTCTTATTCTAATAATCAAGGTCCATTCCCGAATTTTGATATTTTTCTCAGTGTCCCATAGATCATTGTTACGGTTCTTAAAATATGTAATTAATAACTGTTATTAATTAATAAAAATCAATTTTGTATTTGGGCGGTATGTGAGAGAATCTTGTTTCTTTAGATTTTTAAAACCGCAAGTTTATAAAAAAATGTAGTCAAGGTTGGACCCTGAAAATCGAAGCTGATTTTCGGTTAAAATATTTATATGTTTATAAACTTTGTTGCAGGGGGGGTCCAACCTTGACTAAAAAGTGTCCAACCCTAACTATAAGTACCGTCTACGCATATGATATCTAATTAAGTTAATGTTTCTAAAAACGTTAACTAAAAGTCCGTAATATAATTCAAAATGGAAATAAAGTTCGTAAATTATATACGATATAATTTAGAGAATTTTAGAAAAATTACACATGATTGCAAAAATTCAATTATTTTCAAAAATAATAAAATTCTTCGCATGAATTCAATTATCTTCAAAATTTTTTTTAAATTCTCCTCAAAATTTCAATTATCTCTAAAAATAATTAAATTCTCCGAAATTTAATTATTTTCTAAAATTATTTAATAAAATTCTTGGTAAAATTTTAATTATTTTCAAAAATTTTCTTCAATTTAATAATTTTTTAATATCTATTATTTTAATAAAATTTTCCAACAGAATTCAATGATTTAGAAAAAAAATTTAATAAAATTCTACACAAACTTTCAATTATTTTCAAAAAATAATAAAAATTTCACAGGAATTTCATTATTTACAATTTTTTTTTTAATTTCTTCGTAATGATTCAATTATTTTCATAAAAAATAAAATTTTCAGAGGGATTCTAATATTTTCGTAAATAATCAATTTCTTTCAATTATTTTCATAAATAATAAAACTCATTGCAGAATTTCAATTATTTTTATTTTAATACAATTTTATTCGAATTTCTCGAAAAAATACATAAAAACTTTATTAAAATTATCGTCAAAAGAATTAAGTTATTTAAAAATTTATAGATAAAATTCTTTATGAGAATTCAATTTGAAGAAACATGGAATTATTCAATAAATTGTTATTTTTGTATTTAAATAATTAAATTTTAGTAGAATTTTCTCATAAATAATAATTTAAAAATCAATTTTAGTTAAAATTTGAGATTAAAACAATATTGAATTGTTTCGAAGAATTTGATTAAAATTTTAAAATTAATTGAATTTTATCAATTTTAATAGAATTTAAAATGTTATTAAAATCCACCGAAAGAAATCCAATTATTTAAAAATTTGTTGATACAAATCTTTATGTGAATTCAATTTTAAGAAACATTCGAAATTATTAAAGAAATTATTTATTTTTGTATTAAAAAATAATTGAATTCTCCTAGAG